AACTCAATCTGTGTCAGACTTTTTCTAAAGGACTTGCCCCAGAAGCTCAGCTTAATAACTTCTATTTACATCTCATTGTCAAGAATAAAGTGTAACTGCTCAGTTTCTGGCCACAATTTGTGCCTAATGGGCAGGGATAACCTACGTCCAGCTGAAAAAGAACTGATCATTTTTTTTTTCGAGACAGGGTTTCTCTGTGGCTTTGGAGGGTATCCTGGAACTAGCTCTTATAGACCAGGCTGGTCTCAAACTCACAGAGATCCACCTGCCTCTGCCTCCCGAGTGCTGGGATTAAAGGTGTGCGCCACCAACGCCCAGCGACTAATCATTTTATAACTGACATTTCCTGAATTTTCTTAGTGGTGAATCAACTGATTATCAACACAGAAATTTAACAAGCTGAATTTATTAACCCAGCTTTCTGTTCATTTGCCTGAGAGGAATCAGAGCCAGCAGTGGAAGGAGCTTTAAGTGTTAGGGGAAGGGTTGATGGAACTATTGGTCATTCTTCGGCAGCAGGATGGGTGAGTGGAGAGAGCTAGCTGATAAATAGAAGCCAGTTTCCACAAGAATGAGAAACACAAGCTCTGGGATTTTAGTGTCCAAGGGGATCCTGGGGAACTTCCTGCAAGCAGAGGATGACTGTGCTTAAGAACATCTTCAAATGACCTATAATATATAATTTAATGTAAATACAATGTATATAGTTACTGTTATATACTGTGTAGCCAATAATGATAACAAAAATGTATGTACATGTTCAGTACAACTGCAATATATATCCAAATATTTTTGGTCTACAATGGATTGAATCCAGACACATAGAGAGCCAATTTACCCAATCCATGGTGTGTGTGTGTGTGTGTGTGTGTGTGTGTGTGTGTGTGTGTGTGTGTATTCTCTAAACAATCAACTCTACCAGTGTTGGGTATAAACATGGAAAGCAATTCTCCATCCATATTACCACAAGGTATTTTGGGAATGGGCATTTAGAGATCTTGATTCCCATCGTCTCAGCAGCTTGAAAGACAAAGGAAACGGGAGCGTATGGGTAAAGAAGAGCAGCGTGCTGCCTTTCTCAAATTTAAATATTTTGTTCTAGAAAGACGCCATTGTTTCTCATCGATTCGCGGTTTCGCCTGGGGGGGGGGATTGTCCCTGAGAGGATGTGTGGTGATGAGAAGTCACCAGCACGTCCCATGCTTGAGTAAACCGTCCACACACTGCACCACCCTGAAGTCTTGGCTTGCAGATTTTACAGCACTAGAGCTTCCCCTAAGATGCGTATGTCGATGGAGCGTGACTCTGTTGTTTGCTCTAAGACAGTCACTGACTTGGATCAAACCCAGCTTCTCTCAGTAAGCTTGTGACTCCTTGAGCCAATTTGAGTGATTTCACTTATGTCACCAGTAATGGAAAGGGGGGAACCTTCTCATGCATAGCTTTCAAGAGCTAAGTCATTCCTGATAGAAAACAAAGCATTTAGTGATTCACACAACCCTTTATAGGCAAAAAGATGCCTGAGTATATGACTGCCTGGTCCCTTTAATGTTATTTGTTCTCCTTGATGGAGCATGGACTGGACCCTCCAAAATGTCTCCCTCCATGCCACTTTGTCGGTTAATGGTCCTCAAAACTTGCTGCCACCTGCTTCTGCATTTAAATGACTGTTCCTCTGAATAGAGCAGTAGTTTTACCTAAATCTGATTCATGAAAAACAGCAGGAAGAGGAATCAGAGGTTTCCTGTATTTGGCATTTCCACTCAGACTTCCCATGGGATACTATATCAGTGCTTCTATCTACTCTTGGGGCCGCCAAACATTTCTGGGAGGGCATTTTGAAAAGGCATGACAGCAGAGAATGGTGTGTCCATTATGGACACAGGTTGAGATGGGCCCTACTCCACAGCAGCTGGGTACTAATTAATTGAGTATTTATAATGGACTATTATCTGTAGTCTACTAGCATAGAACATGGTAGTTCTTTACCAATTATCCATGTCCCTGAACCTCTTGGCACTCAGTTGCCATATCTGTAAATGGGGATGATAATGGCCTCCACACAGGGTTGGTGACGTAGCTCGGGTGTGGGACGCCTGTGTAGTGTGCACAAAGCCCTGGATTTAATTCCTGGCATGGAAGAAAACGATGCTAACTTCATGTAACTGAAGTCTTCATTATGACATTAACTACTCCCCATTCTCTTTCTCTGATTCCCCACCCCTGGGCCTAACCTTCCCTGATGTGAAACATGACCCTCCTCCTTCCTCTGACACACTTGAATTTCCCCTCCAGTGAGTCTTCTCTAGAAACCATCCCAGGTTGGTTTCCAGTTGCCCCAAGAGAAAGGCTTGTCACCCTGCGCCTACGGTACCTTAATTTGTCTTATATATCTCCTACCACACAAAACTTTAAGTGTCAGATTAGACGGCACTTCTTGAGCATAGAGCTTGTGTCTCTTGACCAATCACAGGGCACACGGTTTTGTTAAAAATTGGCAGAATCAAGGAATGAGTTGATGAATGAAAGACATAAGCTCACTGATTCCAACTGGTAGAAATCATATCAGTGGGGGGGGCATGCAAATGAATTAGCCTCAGAAAGGATCTTTGCCTTTAGAAACAGATACAGGGCCCAGCAGGCACATACTTCCCCTTTTAAAAGTAAGGTCATTTAATGCCAACAGCTCAAAAGCTACTTGTTTGGCTTAACTTCATTTCTATATACACGGTAGTAACTTTTATTGGGATAACAATACCAAGAAGTATCTTTAGGTATCTTTTTTTTCTTTTGCTTTATCAGAGGACAAACAGGAAGGGAAAACAGGAATTGAATCCCCTAGCTCGCAGTCATGTGCTTCGGTTTCTCAGAGACTTGGTTACAGTGAAGAGGTAAATGACATTTAGATGCGAAGTTAGTGACTTCGAATCTTAGTCCCTGGTGAAATAGGGTATTTCCATGAGGTGATCACTGCTCTAAATATGTCAATAATGTGTCGTCACCTGCTGAACAGAGCCCCATTACAAAGGAATTTCCCTAGGAGTCCTGGCTCAGCCACTTCCTTGCCCCCTAAGTGGTGTTTAATGCCTGGTATTTGTGAGATGTTCACAATCACCTGTTCTCTGCAAGGTACTGACCAAGGCATAATGGAAGAGACACGCTATCCCCGCAGAGGGGTCAGAGCACCCAAGGCACACAGACAAGCCTCATCAGAGGCATAGTTACGTAAGAGCTGGGCGCATGGGTGGAGGGTAACTGAGCCAGCAAGAGAGTGCAAGAGGTGAGCAGAAAGAAATATTCTTTGGGAAGTGAAGCCAAGGAAAATGAGGCAGGAGACCGTTGGTGGCCCAGGGCAGAGAGACGTAGGAAGACGAGGCAAAAGGATAGGCGGCGGTCAATGCTGTGAGCTGCTAGGAGGAACAAACAAACCAGGATGGAGGAGTAAACTTGGGGTAGAAAAGTCTCTTCCTCTGAGAGTATAGGCCGGTTTCTGGAGGAGAGACGCGTCAGGAGTTCCTGTGGAGACCGGCAGTGCTGGCACAAAATGTACTCTCTGGAACTGGCAGGGAGTTAGCACCCTGGGGACACCCTGGCTTCATCACCTGCAGAGCACAGTGAATGGCGCTGACCTGCAAGAGGAGGCTCATGTGTCCCAGCGGCCTGCTGCCTCCGTGTCCCTGTGTCCCAGCTGCCTCCTCCCTGTGTCCCAGCTGCCTGCTGCCTCCTCCATGTGTCCCAGCGGCCTGCTGCCTGCAGCAGCAGCAGGGGCAGTGGTGAGAATTACTATTGTTACAAGGGGATCCACCGAAAGGAAATGGGGAGAGGATGGTTTGGGGCCTGGAGGACACGGGACCAAAGGACGGTGAGCGAAAGAATCCAAAGCTGCTTAGAGGGGAAGCCAAGAGCAATGAGAGAAAGCTAGGGCCAGAGAGCAGTGATTCGGGACAGAGTGTCGTCGGTCACTCTGGACTTCACCTAGGCTTCGGCGGCCTGGAGGTGGAATCCCAGAAGCCTGAGGGTGGGACTCACAGTTCTAGTAGCAGCCCACCAATATTCACGTTCCTGAAGGTGGGTGGCTTTAACTTCAGGGATGCAGATGCAGAACCCGGGAGCATGTCTCTCATGGAGGAAGAGCGGGTGCGTGACAAACAACGGTTTTTCCCGAATCTGACTGCAGAATGCTTTGAGAGCCTCACGGCACCATATCTGCCAATCATTTCACTTGATGAGCCCGGTGGTCACGTGGTCTGCAGTGACAAGAGTACCTTAGAGCAGGGGTACTCGACCTCAGTGCTCTGGCTGTAAGGGCCAGGCCTGTATATTATGGGGTGTTTAACAGCATCTGACACTAAATGCCAATAGCAGCCCTGTCAGTCTCATCCAGCTGTGACCCTTGGCATTGCAAAATGCTCCCTCCCCCCCCCCCAGAGCAAAACTGTCCCTAAGTAAGAATCACTAACCTGGAAGGTCAGTTACAATCCCTGAGGAGAAGCAGACTGGTTTCCACATCTCACCATTACTTTACATCCAACTGTCACCATACCCCGTCACCATACCCCCCCCCCCGTTAGTTCTCCAAGGACCAGCTTCCTCGTTACAGACCCCACGGCTGCATCACCTCAACTGGCAAGGCAGAGCTAAAGGACTGCAAAAGGGACTCTTGAAAACAGAGCTGCAGAGTTGGAGAGCCGTTTCGTCTAAGAGCGGCTCCCAGTTCATGTCCCCTGACAGCTGCGACACCTGGGAAGCTGTTCTGGCGGCTGCTAATGCAAAATCATAAATGCCAACTACTGAAGTCCCTTCAGGCTAAGTGAGGGTTCCTGCAGTCACGCTTATATCCCTCTTGTGAGCCTCGTTCTTAGTACGTTTGTCCTCCACGCCCGACCCCTCCCTCCTAGCTCCCTGTGCTGGATAACCCCACAAGCGGCCGGCGCCCAGCCCAGTGGGCTCTTCTCTTGTTGGCAGCGCCTTAAGCTGTCCCTTGTTTCTTTTTCTCACAGGCTGTGAGAGATGAAACCATCCTGCTCTCTGAAAATCAGTAAAAGCTGGCCTGAGACTATGTAAAAGAAACCATTTCTGAGACCGTTTGGAAAATGAAATTGTGCTCTTTAAAATAGCCTTTCTTCAAATTCTTGTGACTTACTAAAAATGACCACTAACATATTCCGTTGGTTCCATTTTGGTTTTGGTCAGAGTTTCTTCTGAACTCATTTCACTGAGAACTTTGATGACATTTATCCTTCACTTCCTTTTTTTTTTTCTGTCCCCTTCTGGACTGAGGCTAAGGCATTGTGTCCCTCTTGGTACAGCAGCTTCTGTTTTTGACAGATGAGTTAAGGTGCAGAGACTGACTGAGTGGTGATCAATCATGGTTTCCTCTCAAGGTACTCTGATAATCAATGTGCCGGATTCTGTCTTGAGAATGCAAGACTCAGCTGGGGAGGCAACAAGCACAGTATGAACGTTACTGTGTCACCACGTTCCAAGCACTTTACAGACGTGAACTCACAATGTGTGGGGCAGGGCGTTATCTGGAATGACGGATCACGTGCAATGTCGTCCACGGCCACATGAACCATCCCTGAGTGGGCACAGCCAAGGTTTCATGAGCAAAGAGCATCTGGACTGAGCCTCTTGGATCACTGTGCTTCATATAGGCTAAGAGAGTCGTGCGTGTACTAACGTCTTTACTTGGTTTTGGTGTATGTGTACGCACACGCAGTATGTGCTCATGAACACACGTGTGGAGGTTTGAGGACAGTTTTTGGAGTCAGTTCTCCCCTTACACCTTGTTTGTGAGCATGTCTCTCTTGTTTCTTCCAACCTCCATATTCCATGTGATCTAGGGAATTCTCCCGTCTCCATCTCCAATCTTGCCATAAGAGTGTTAGGATTAAAGATTTAGACCACAGCATCCAACTTTGTCTTTTGCTTGTTTGTTAGTTTGTTTTGGGGGGTTGACTTTTGTTTTTGCTTTGTTTGTTTCTCAGTAACATGGGCTCCCTGGGTCAAACCTAGGTCTTCAGGCTTACACAATGGCAAGGGCCTTTATTCACAGAGCCCTCTCACTAGTCCCTCATGCACTCACATTTAAACTAACCCATTTCTGTGAATCTAAGTGTTGCCACGTGGCCGTGCTTTGACTGGTCTGGCGGCATCTTGTTTCTTGGTGGCTTCTGGAGTCTCCCCAACAGCACCCTTGTTCCTCAGTTTGACGTTTGCACCCAGGTATGTTTGGCCTTGCTTTAGACCAAAGCCGCTTTTACTGTCAACCAATGAGAGCAACACACGTTCACAGCATGCAGAGGGTTATCCCACAGCACACCACAGTGGACTAAAGCCGGATGTCAGCAATGTGAACGACAGACATCTTGCAAACTCTTGAAAGCTGAAAAACTCCGCTTTCTTGGGCTCCTTTTGTTTATTTTGTTCTGTTCTTATATGTATTTGTTTTATTTTATTATTATCCCTTAGATACCTGTTTGTTTTCCTTCCTTCCTTTAAGCTTACATGGCAATAGTATAAAATCTTTACACAGTTGGGTGGTGGTGGTGCATGCCTTTATTTTTTATTTTTATTGAGTTATACATTTTTCTCCACTCCCCTTCCATCCTTCCCTCTCCTTTTCCACCCACCCCACTCCCACCCCAACACTCCCAATTTACTCAGGAGATCTTGTCTTTTTCTCCTTACTAGGCAGATCCATGAATGTCTCTCTTAGGGTACCAAAGTCCTCTTTGGTACCTAGGTTCTCTGGCATTGTGGACTGTAGGCTGGTTGTCCTTTGCTTCATGTCTAATTTCACTTATGAGTGAGTATATCCTGTGTTTGTCTTCTGGGTTAAGATTATTTTCTAAATTCCAGGTAGAATGTGAGTGTCAAGGCGGTTTTGTCTTCTCTAGGAAAATAAAAAGATACATGCGCTTAGTCTAAACCCTAAGAATATTAGCAAGGCAAATCTCTACCCAGAGGAGAATGGTAGCAAAATTGTTTTCCACAGATGTAGGAATGTAGGAAGGTCCTTTGTATATCTGTGGAGGAGGAGCTGTGATCTAAGGGTGCTCTCTTGGGTGCTCTGTTTGTCGCTCCATTGTGGCAGGGCTAAGAGATTTTTTTTCCCAAGCCCCAGTGAGTGTGCAAATGGCCTAATACGTAAACGCAGCTGGTCAGGAGTGGGCGCTGAACTTCTCTACTTCTCTGAAGAAACTAAGGCTTAGAACAGAGGCTATGAATCCCAGGCACCCATGAGGATCACACGGAGGCCCTATGAAGATACCGTGCTGGCCCAGGCCTTTGGAGCTCATGTAGTCATCCTAGGAGTTTACCTGACTAACCAGATCCCATGCAACACTCTCACTGCTGACCACAACACATTTCAAGAACCACTGGCTTAGAACATCCCTCGTGAGCACGAGTAAGTGCTCCTCTTGGGCTTGGCATAAAGGCTGGGGCCACAGAGTTTAAGATGAAACAAAGCATGATGGGTCTTCTGAGAATGTAGGTTGCAGGCTTAAATGAAAAGAAGATCCATTGTTTTAGATAATGAAGATAAGAATAGCTGAGAGTTTTTGACATTTTCTCTGTACAGTGAACTAAGGTTTAATGTACATTATCTTACTTGGCATCTGGCCTGGGCAACAGGGTTGGTGTCTGATGTGTAGCCCAGAAGCCAGATCATGCTGAGAGGGAGTGTCACATCTTCCGCAGGCTGGGTGCTACCCGCATGCAAGGCCACACTGTCTCACAGGAAATACCTTCAGATCTGGACAAGCAGTCACTAGAGGCCTGAGCTCTGCCCCGCAGACCCTGCAGGAAACAGCTGAGAGAATGTGAGGGCAAGTGCTAACCATCGCCTCTCTCCACTGAAGAACTTGCGTATGAGGCAGTTTTCCAGCCCTCAACACAGCAGGAGCCCCTCAACACTTGGGGTCTTTGAGCAAGAGATGAACGTGATCTGGAGAGACATCTGGACAAAAGCATTTCTGCTGTCCCCAGACAGATTGAGGTTAAGGTTTGATCTGGGGCAATATGCAGGGGAGAAAAAAAACCAAAGTTAACAAAACAGATCTTTAAGGGTTTATTTTGTTCCCCCATTCTTCTTTTTTTCTGCCTCTCTCTTTGCCTCCCTCCCTCCCTCCCTCCCTCCTTCCCTCCCTCCCTCCCTTCCTTCATTTCTGTCTTTTTCTTTTCAAGACAGGGTTTCTTTGTTTAGCTCTGACTATCTTGGAACTCACTCTATAGACCAGGCTGGTTTGGAACTCAGGGACTCACCTGCCTCTGCCTCGAGTTCTGGAATTAAAGGTGTGCACCACCACGCTCACATTCTCTGCCAGTCAGGACCCCCCCTGAGTCACAGAAGGGACACTGGACACCTCGAGGAGGTTGAGTTAGCAGCTCCCGATGCAGGCAGACTGCATTTTCACAGCTTCCCAGTGCCGCTGGTGCTCCTGGCCTTCAGTTTATTCCCTTCTCTGTACACGGCAAGGCTGCCCGCATTTCATATTCTCTCGTCTTTTTTGTGTAACTGAAGCAAAAAAAGAAAAGAAAAATCAGGTGTGTGTGTGTGCGTGAGATCATTCAAAATCCAATGATAACAATGATACATGCCCTTTCCTGAACAGCAGCTATGAAGGGATAGGTTCCTTTTAGAAGTTACTGTAGCTACTGTACATATTATAGGATAGTATAATTTCTACAATAATAAAGAGCACCTTTTACCTGGTCCTTTATTATTAATTATTATTATTATTAATCTCTATCTGTACAGTAAGTGCTGCCTTGAGTTTAGAGTTGTGATAAATTATATTTCTTTTGATGATGCTTTGAATGTTACATAATGAAAACAATTGATTTAAAGCCGGGTATGTGACTAACACATGATGTCAGTACTGGGAGCCTCTGGCCGAAGGCGTGCCGTAAGTTCATGGACCACCTGATCTAAATAGTGCATTCTAAGTGGGCCTAGATTACAAAGTCTTTTTTATTTAAGCTATAACTATTCAAACTTGAAGAGATTTACAATTTTGAAGAGATTTACAATTTAAGAGATTTACAATTTAAGCTATAACTATTCAAACTTGAAGAGATTTACAATACTTCTGAGGTTGAATCTTACAGTGAATTGGTGAAAGCTCCTGAGGACATGGTGAATGTTAGTGACCTGTCAGCTTTATGGTTATAAAATCAGACTGATGAACAAGAAATATAAAGGTGCCGGGCATGGTGGCACACATCTTAAACCCATTATCCAGGAAGCAGAGGGAGGAGGATCTCTGTGAGATCGAGGTCAGCCTGGTCACACAGTGAGTTCCAGGACAACCATAACTACATAGCAAAACCCTGTCTCGAGAGTAGAGAGATGAGACAGAGAGATATAGAGACAGAGACACAGAGATGGAGAGACAGAAAGACACAGAGACAGAGACATAGGGACAGATAGACAGAAAGACACAGAGTCAGAGGCAGAGAGACATAGAGACACAGAGAAAGAAAGACACAGAGACAGAGACAGAAAGACACAGAGACACAGAGACAGAAAGACACAGAGACAGAGAGACAGAAAGACACAGAGACAGACAGAAAGACACAGAGTCAGAGACAGAGAGACACAGAGACAGAGAGATAGAGACAAAGAGACAGAAAGAGTCAGAGACAGAGAGACAAAGAGACAGAAAGAGTCAGAGACAGAGAGACATAGAGACATAGGGACACAGAGACAGAGATGGAGAGACAGAGTCAGAGACAGAGAGACAGAGTCAGAGACAGAGACAGAGAGACAAGCTCCCAGAGTGTACAACCATCCTAGATGGAGTAAAACTGCGAATAGCCAAGATTAGGAATGGGAGGTGTTTGGATGGCTTATGTTCCTGTGCCACACAGGGAGGACAAGAGTTGGGAAACTGCGCATGGTGGCACAGCATTGGGTGCATTTGTGTCACTGGTGGATGACAGTCACACATTAAAGGACAGACAGACTAGAGTTAAAGTAAGTCACTACACCAGGCAGTGGCACACTCCTTTAATCCCAGCACTGGGGAGGCAGAGGCAGGCAGATCTCTGAGTTCAAGGCCAGCCTGGTCTACAGAGCGAGTTCTAGGACACAGTGAAATCCTGTCTCAGAAAAAAAAGCCACTACAGTCAAAAACAGAACTTCAGAGACAAAATCTCCACAAACAATCGAGCAAATAACAATAACTAGAGCTTTCATAAATGTTTTAATTAATAATCTTGAAATTAAACTCAGGAATTACTTTACCCATCTCTACATGCAGGTGTTTATTGAAAAGAGGTCCCCTGTGTCATGGAGATTCTGCAGCCCTGGGTCCACAGGGCAGGGACACACACACACACACACACCACGTTCCAGCAGATCACAGACAGGGTGGATGTTGGGCTGGACCAACACATAACCCTGGTTCTGGCCTGGGTAGTTTCAGGGTTGGTCAGCTGCCAGCTCGCTCCTGTCTTTGCCACCAGTGTGGGCTCTCCAACAGTTTCCCTGGCGAGTTCATCCCTTGCAGTGATGAGCAAGGGGAGAGGCTGGTTTTCCCGCCTTCCTGCCTCAGGGCTGGCTCTCCCAGACCTACACCTTCAGGGCCAGCTCCTCTGTGTTGCCCAGGTGAGGTGTAGGGGCCGCTCTCCCGAGTGTGCAGCTGGTGAGGGGCAGGGACAGCCCTCCTGGCCTTATGACCCCAGGGCCAGGTCTCCCACCCTCCTCAGACGTGGTTGGGGGCAGTATCTCTCCCCAGCCCATGCTATCTCAAGACAGATGAGTATGGGGACAGCTCTCCCATGCTCACAACTTTGGGGCTGAGGATAACTTTTTTTTAATGTTTTTATACAATATATTTTGATCGTATTTGTTCCTCTCCCCCAGCTCATCCCAGACACTCCACCTCCCTACCCACACAAGTT